GCCTGAGGTGGCCCCGGACTCAGACTCCTTGGAGGTATCCACACTGCATTTGGGGGTAGTGGTGGGGTTGCCACCGAGAATCGCATGCAGATCATTGTAGAAGCAGTATGTCTGTGGTGCAGAATAAGTGTTCATCTCCCTTGTCTTCTGGTACGCCTGCTGAAGTTCTTTGATTTTCATGCAGCACTGCTGTGTGTCCCTGGTGTAGCCCTTCTTCCCCATGCCCCGCGCAATCTTTTCATTGATGTCTACATTTCTTCAGTTGGGTCGGAGCTGTGTCTGCACAGACTCTTCTTCCCACAGACCTATAATATCCACCATCTCCTGTGTACTCCCGGCTGCAGCACGTTTGGGGCATTGAGTCACCATGATCAGCTGGGTTGGCAAGTTGTCCACGCTGATCAAACAGGAAATGGGAACTCAAAAGTTCCTGGGGTTTTAACAGGGGAGGAGCTGTTTCCTGTGTACATGGCTGCTGTGCAGCAGAGTTGAAAACGATCTCCAGAGCAGTCACAGTGGAGCATTGTGGGACACCTTCTGGAGGCCAATTCTCTGTATCTTCTCTTCTCCAGACTAAACAAAAAACTTTGAGTACAGAATTTTTCCCATTTTGCATTGGGATGAACCCATGATCTTTCCAGGTTTTTCATGATTCAGAGGAGGGACTTGAACCTCAGTCTCCCACATCCTAATTGAGTGCCATAGCCACTGGGCTCTTGGCTGTTATAGATAGTATCACCTCCCTATTACTGTTCAGTATTCACCTATTAATACATCCAAGTACCATATTAGACCTTTTGTCACAGCATCACATTATAGCCTGGTTATCTATAATGACCATCAAGTTCTTTTCAGAGTCACTGCTTTCCAGAACCCAATCCCTTATCCTGTAAGTAAGAATGCTGTTCCTAGATGTTTTAAGATAATTTTGGTTTGAAGCTTTTGATCTCTCACGTGTCCCTGATGCTGGATATTCACTCAAATGCATAATGCAATAAACTACTCAACCCCAAGAGATGTTATTTTGACACTGGCTGCAATTGGTAAGGCACACAAGACAAGCCTGGTGACCACTAAGGGAGATAAGAACAGGGACCTGAAAACAACCCAAGGCATTATAAGACCAGTGTAAAAGCACTTAGGTAAGTAAGTATCCAAGAGAACTGCAAAACTCAATTATGCCTTACAAATCAAGAAAGGGAAAGGAGATACTTTGGTATACAAGATTAGTCTACTGGCATTTCACCTATATTACTTTAAAATATGTTTTAAAACAGTTTCTGCAGGAAGAGTAAACAATCTTCCTAGTAAATCCTAGCTTTGAGACACCCTCGGACAAAGACTTCCCACTCCCATAATAAGAGTATTGATATGAATTAACCATAGCAAATAATATTTTAGTGCTGCAGCAGAAAACTATTAGGTGTAGAGAAATGACAGTGTAAGTTACATATGTTTATTTATAACTTTTTTTTCCTGTTGCACTAATAGAAATCTCTTGATTGAGGAATTTAAAGAATAAATTTCTGATGTGACCTGTTTATTTTATATTGTTTAATTGACTAACAACATGAAATCAATGCCTGTTAGGAATCAAACTTTAAACCTCTAATTTTTCATCCACTTTTATTATATTATGTTGCATAATTTGGTCTGGGATGGGAAAGGGGGAGAAGGAGGAAGGAAAACATATGATCAGCTTTCTCCAGTATTTACTATACTCTCCTGGAAATGCTAGCTATAAACCCCATTTCCTATGCACAGAAATACAGATCCACAGGTCATTGTCCAGATTTTTAAAATGCTTTGTTTTTTTAAATCAGTTAATATGATAGATTTGCTTGACATTCCAAACTGGATGCAATTAATTCCTACTGCATAGGAGAAATGATCTATGCCAAGAATTTTATTTCATTATGAAAACGATATTATGGAGCATCTGAGATCACATACTATACATAATAGAATGCCAGAAAAGTTCTAACTGCCAGTACCCCACAGTGAATGCCTGATTATTTACAGATGGGAAATGGAAAAATTGTGAAATTACAGAAATTTTGAATCCTGAATTCAGACATTACTTTGGTCTGTATGTTGCATGGTAAATGCCAATTATAATTTCAAATATATTCACAGATCTTGCCTTTAGCTCTTATCATCAGCCACTTTTATTTCTTTAAAGTTTATTAACTGAAACTATATTGCATTCTCCTCAGTCCAAAATGAAAGCCTTAGGTGATAGCACAAAATAGATCCAGTAAGTCAACTGTCAATAGCAATGTTATTTCACGAGTAATCAAATGTCCATCAAGAAACTAATTTAAATCAATCTCCTTTGCGAAAGCCAGTTGTCCAACAAGTACAACAATTGGTCTAAGATCAATCAGTGAACATGAGATCAATTAAAACCAGCTTAAGTTTTTGTAGGGGGACAATTCATGCAACTCAAGTTAGATCTCTATTCATTTCTATACTCCCACAATGCAATCCTTAAGCTGTGTTGTAAAGCAGAAATACTACTATCACTCTCCACTGTCTAGCCAGCACTCTAAGTAGTTCCACATTTAATTAAAGACACAGTATACCCTTTGTTAGCACAGATAGTCAGGCTGGTCACTTTAAAGGACTGCTGCAGTTTTAGCCATGCATACAAAAATTTAATTCTGCAAACCATCTGTTGGAAAAACATCAGAACTAAATCATTTTACAATGTAATTTTGACCCACTCAGAAGTTTACACGTGCCTGAAAGTATAAGCCTCTTCTGCTTTGCGGTTTATTAGGACTTATTTTTGCTAAGCACTGGAGATGTTAACAGGTTTACCAATAACCTTTTGGTTACAATGTCTTATGAAATGTGAGAAGTAGTAGTTGAATTACCAGATTTTCTGTTGTTCTTAACTATGGGGGGAGGGGAGAGAAGAGTGGGGAAAGTGAAAACAAATATAACTACTTAAGTTTAGATAGATACCTATAGTTGTTCTAGATGAGGGCAAGACCCAGAAAAAACAACTCTGAAATTTGGAGAGAAGATGCAGTAACACTTTTGTCCACATGGGTGCTGTAATGACATATTCCACAACACCAATAACTAATCTCTAGCAATTCCAGTTTTTGAAAACCTCCAATATTTGGAAGCAAAACAAATTAAGACTTTGTGATAATTCTCTAAAATGCATTCCTCATACAAAATCCTCTCTCTCTGTGTCATTAAGGTGTACTTCAAGAAACTCACTATTTAAAAAGCAAGAATCCCTCTTAAAACTTCTTAAATTGATTTATAAAAACGAATGTGTGCCAAAATCAATTATCAATCTCCTTACATTATAAAGTTCCCAAAACATTCCTTGAGACAATATAATGAGGAAACAAGACTCTAAACTGGATTTAATGACTCCCAACCTAAACAAGTATGTATTTAACAAAATCCTATTTTAGTCCCTGAAATACATTTAGATCTTTTTTTTTTCCAACTAAAAAAATTCTTTCATAGATATAAACCAATCATCCCTAACAGTATTGTGTAAAAACCTTTGACTGGTTTAAAACCAATTTACAGGGTAAATGACAAAGTAGTTTACTTCCACTGGTAAATACAAGCTCATTAGTAGTTGTAGATCTATGCAAGGTAATAACTTCTGAAGGGTAAAATAATTTACCATGTGCAACTAATCACCATAGGCATAAGACCAGATCCCGTCTGTAAAACAAGCTCAGGCGTACTCGAGACTGAGAAGTGCTGCATCCGCTTGGCGGAGGGCATTAACTCAGTCCCGGAGCAGCAGAGATAAAGTGAGAACAGTTTAACAGAGCAGTGAGAGGCAGGCAGAAGCGCTGTCCCCGGGAGAGCCAGAGGCAGGAACATTTCTCCATAAAGCCCGTTATAAACAGATCACCTCCCAGACTGGGCAGGGGAAGAGTCAGGACCTATTGACCTAGAATCACCAGCGCTGTCACGACTATCTCCTGGGACAAAGGGGAGTCTCTGGGGCTGCGGGAGGCGTTGCATGAAATTACTACGCGAACAATCAATAACCTGGTTCCTTCAGGTCCCAAGGAGAGAGGGGTCGCTCGCTCGCTCGCACACAGGCGGTTACCCGCTGGTTATCGCGGGGTCACTCATCAGCGGGGAGTGAGCGCTGGACTATGACTGTGGAGGTGAATGTAGATCACATGGCCATCAATGTACCTGCGGCTTCTAGATTCACTGCCCCTCTGTTCACCAGCACATCTAATGTCCTGTACCTGGATCCAGCCCCGTTGGTGCTGGGATGGGCAGTCGCATCGCACACGCAATGCTCCCCTTTCACTGACGGGCTCCCGGCACCCAGTCGACCCTATTCTAAATAGACCCCCCCCGCAAACCGGGAGTCGCAGCGTACAGCGCCGATCCCCCGTTTCAGCTCGACCCTCCCCCCCGCAGCAGAGAGCCAAGTTCAGCGCCTAGTCCCACGGCTCTCGCTGACAAATGCGTCCAAACGCAGGTCGGCTGGGATTTTCAACTCCCCGTCTGCAAACGGCTAACGGGGATTTCCTCCGTTTGGGACCAACCAGCCCACGGGGTTTCTCTGCGAGTTAGCGCAGCTCCGAAACCCTGAGGGGAGCGGGGACTCAAGGCAGGGCACCTGAGGCTGTGCCTTCTCTCGATGGGGTTTTAATCCACCTGCCTGGCAGCTCCGTGGGGAGGACGAGAGCGACTGCACCTCTCGGGGGAGCGGGCAGAACGCACTTGCTGCTCCCCAATAAGTCACTTTAGACTAAGGCTGCGCAGCGCCACGAGCGCACACTCCCTCCTCCCGGGGAGCTCGCAGGTCCCCGGCCGCGCGTGCGGGACAAGCGCTCCCACCCCGCGCGTGCGGGACAAGCGCTCCCACCCCGCGCGCGGACCCGGACCCGGACCCGGACCCAGCCGCAGCCGGCCCCGGCTGGGCAGAGGGGCAGAGGGGCAGCCGCCGGCGGTCCGCACAGCCCCGGGAGAGCAGTGGGTGCCACGCTACTGACCTCTCTTGCTGCGTCTCCAGCGGCCGGCTTGGCAGTGGCTGTAATCCATACAGTTCAGGACGAGCAAGGCAAAGGAGAAGAGGCGAAACTGCATCCTGGGCGGCGAGGGTGGGCAGCTTCTCTCAGAGCGAGCAAATCAGCCGGCTGGCGGGGCCGGGGCAGGCGCCGCCGGGAGCGGAGGTGCCAGGCTGAGCGCGGGGGGCCGCCGCGGTAGGGTCCGGTCCGGTTGCGGAGTCACCACCCGCCGGCCGCTCCCCTGCCCAGGCGCTGCGAACTGGCAGCAGCTCCCAGCATCTCCTTTGATCTGCAGACAAGGAGCAGAGCGGGGTGGGGGGGGGGGGGATCTGTGGGGGGGGGGGGGGGGGGGGTTAGTCCCACCCTCCCTGCCTGCACCGAGGCCACGGGGATGGCAAAGCGGAGCGGAGCGGGGACGACCCGCCAAGAGCCACAACTCTGCCCCAGGTGGCTGCACTCAGAGAGCACGGGGCAGGCTCGTGGGGCGAGAGGGGGGCAGGCTCTGGCGCACGGTCCGTACCTTCAGCGCCGAGCAAGCAGCGGAGCGGCCCCTCCAGCCATCCTGCGGCAGCGAGTCAGGGAAGCGGCGCCCCTCGGCTCCCCGGGACTCCGCTAGCAACACGTGGGCAGGCGAAGTTTGGGAGCCGCTCAGCTGAGGGGCTTGGGGGCTACGCGGGGCGGCCGGAGAGGCTGCCTGGCCGGGAGGTGAACAGGCGGGTTTTGCAACGTGCCCCTCGCCAGCCCCCCGCCTCTGCTGGGGAGCAACCAGGGGCGCTGCAGCCCCACGAGTCCGGCTGCGTCTCGCCTCCCGGCCCTTTTATCCCCGCACTCCGGCTGTGACGTGGGGGCTGCCCGCGGGGCAGACTCACCCTCGCCCTCCGCAGCCGAGGCTGTGCGGGGCGCGCCAGAGGGATGCGCTGGGGGCTGGAGGCTGCAGTAAGTAGGTGGTGCTGTGGTCCACAGCATCTCGGAGCGGCCCCCGCGCCCCTTCTGCCAGGTCCTAGCGCCGCGGGGCGCTGTGGTGCCTCAGGGTCCTAAAGCCCTATGCGTGGCAGCCTCCCTCCCCGGGGTTTGAATGGCAAACTCCTCAGCCTCGAGGCTCTCCTCCTCCGCAGGGGCCTAATGCAGGAGCCACTTCTCCTCTCCCGCTCCTCTCCAAAGCCTGATAGCTCCCCACCCCGTGCCTGCTGCTTGTGGTTGTGGGCAGATGTTGGCCGCACAAAGAATTTCCCATTTCTCTGCCTATGTCCAGGCAGGGTCCTACAGCCTGATAGATCATCTCCTCCACCCCTTCCTCTGGGGCTCTTAAGGCCTGGGGCCCTTTGCAAGGGAAGGATCCAAAGCCCTTTAAGTCAATGGAAATTCTCTCCTTGGTCTCAATGTGCTTTGTATAATGCTTCAAGTCTCTACACAATCCTGGAGCTTCTCCTACAGCCCCTCCTCCCAAGTCCTTAAACCCAGAGTATCGCCTGGTCTACCACGTCCTCAACCCACCTTCATCTGTTCCCGTTCTTCCACAGACTGAAATCCTTGTTCGTCTCCTCCTCTTTCTCTCCATTCCTTCAGTATCCAAAAAAAACAGGTTCATCTTCTTTGCCTTGTGGTCTTTTCCTCCTGCAAACTGCTTACCTGGGGAAAGTCTCCAAGGGCAAACTAAGTATGATTTGGTGTTCTGGGTGCATTATAAAAACAATCTCCAGCTGACTCAAGATTTTCAGTAAATTAGGCCCTGATCCTGCAAGCTGTTTTGCAGAGGTGCACTTCCATGTCCGAAGAGAGCCTCACTAAAGTCAGCAGCCAAGCTCTGCGCAGAGGCTGATCTGTGTGGAACACCTTGCAGGATCAGAATAATGTAAGCATTCTGGAGCCCTCAAGCATAATCAATTGGAATAATGTGCTTGCACAGTATTGAGCCAATTCATTATTTACCAGTCTGATTTCTTATGTTTTTACAACACTTGAGCTCCATTCATTCAAAACTCAGCTTTATGTGTAGTGTGCTGACTGAAAAAAGATTTCCTTCCACACACCCCTGTAGAGAAGCCAAAATGCTGCTGCTGTTGCAATATAAAGCAATTGAACCTTTACATGCTTTATGGGGCTCCACAGAGCATGATCTTGAAGTATCCTAACTTCACTACACAGAAGAGGCAGTTCTTAAAATGAATGATACCAATATTTGTATAATCAAAAATTCCTATATTATAGTATATTCTTATAGTTAGGAGACCCATCTCCTGTATGCTGAAGTCTTAATAATTCCTAAGCATGATACTTTCTTGGTGTGATATAAAAGTCTCTGTTGACTTACATTGCAGTGAATGAGACAGACCTTTAATCGCAGTGAAAGCAGGGAGTGGTTTAAAGAGAATGATGTGCTTCCTCATTCTATGAAATATTGAAATGCTGTACTTCTAAACTTTAAAAATAAATATATGTCTATATAAACCATCTTCCAACATCTTACCTGTCAATCATCCTTTGCCTCCTCGTCCAAATTCATCATTCCATGGAGCGGCTAACAGAGGGAGTTTGCCTGGGAGCTGTCCGAGAGGAGGTACGCTAAGTGCTGCATTAGGGGGGCTGTGTTGGTGAGTATCTGAGTGTCTGTTGCTGGGACAGTTTGTCAGTTTGACCGTGTGCTTGATTGCTCGCTTGTTTGTTTGAAAAGTGTGAATTGGGAGTGCTTTGTTCCAGGTGGGCCTTGAGTGGGCCTGACTGGTATATAAGGGCAGTCAGCAGCGAACAGCAGAGGCTAACAGAGGGAGTTTGCCTGGGAGTTCGCCTGGGGAGAGCGCACTGAGGCTTTCATCTGTGGGTTTCTCTGACTAGTTACTGGAACAGCTGAGGAAGCTCTTAAGAGGAAGGTGATATGGAAGGTGAGCGATAAGCTGTTGTAACCTGCACAGGTTGTGCCATGTTTGTCTTTCTTCCACAAGACAGAAGCGACTTTGTCTGTACAAAGTGCAAGCTGGTCTCCATATTGGAAGAGAAGGTTCGAGGTCTGGAGAAACGAGTATCGACTCTGCGTTGCATAAGGGAAAATGAAGATTTCCTGGACAGACATCAGGAGATGCTTCTACGGCCACAATGTTCTGAAGATTCAGAGCAGGCGCAGCAGGGACAGAAGGATGGTGAAGAAGTTTGGCAGCATGTGACCTCCAGAAGGAGAAAGAGGAGCATCCATTTACCAGCAATGGAGATACAGGTGAGCAATCGTTTCCATGTTCTCTCTACAGGTACTAATGCGGAGAGTGGACTAGATGACACATCTGAAGGAAGGGAGCAGAAGGAGACTCCACCGATTGGAAGGTAAAAGATGCACTGTCCTAGGGATGAGGGTTCCACAACCACCACTCCCAAGAGGAGGAGGAGGGTGGTGGTGGTCGGGGACTCCCTCCTCAGGGGGACTGAGTCATCTATCTGCCGCCCCGACCGGGAAAACCGAGAGGTCTGCTGCTTGCCAGGAGCTAGGATACACGATGTGACGGAGAGACTGCCGAGACTCATCAAGCCCTCGGATCGCTACCCCTTCCTGCTTCTCCACGTGGGAACCAATGATACTGCCAAGAATGACCTTGAGCGGATCACTGCAGACTACGTGGCTCTGGGAAGAAGGATAAAGGAGTTTGAGGTGCAAGTGGTGTTCTCGTCCATCCTCCCTGTGCAAGGAAAAGGCCTGGGTAGAGACCATCGAATCGTGGAAGTCAACGAATGGCTACGCAGGTGGTGTTGGAGAGAAGGCTTTGGATTCTTCGACCATGGGATGGTGTTCCAAGAAGGAGGAGTGCTAGGCAGAGACAGGCTACACCTAACGAAGAGAGGGAAGAGCATCTTCGCAAGCAGGCTGGCTAACCTAGTGAGGAGGGCTTTAAACTAGGTTCACCGGGGGAAGGAGACCAAAGCCCTGAGGTAAGTGGGGAAATGGGATCCAGGGAGGAAGCACAAGCAGGAGAGCGCAAGAGGGGAGGACTCCTGTCTCATACTGAGAAAGAGGGACGATCGATGAGTTATCTTAAGTGCCTATACACAAATGCAAGAAGCCTGGGAAATAAGCAGGGAGAACTGGAAGTCCTGGCACAGTCAGGGAACTATGATGTGATTGGAATAACAGAGACTTGGTGGGATAACTCACATGACTGGAGTACTGTCATGGATGGATATAAACTGTTCAGGAAGGACAGGCAGGGCAGAAAAGGTGGGGGAGTTGCATTGTATGTAAGAGAGGAGTATGACTGCTCAGAGCTCCGGTATGAAACTGCAGAAAAACCTGAGAGTCTCTGGATAAAGTTGAGAAGTGTGAGCAACAAGGGTGATGTCATGGTCGGAGTCTGCTATAGACCACCAGACCAGGGGGATGAGGTGCCGAGGCATTCTTCCAGCAACTAACAGAAGTTGCTAGATCACAGGCCCTGGTTCTCATGGGAGACTTTAATCACCCTGATATCTGCTGGGAGAGCAATACAGTGGTGCACAGACAATCCAGGAAGTTTTTGGAAAGTGTAGGGAACAATTTCCTGGTGCAAGTGCTGGAGGAACCAACTAGGGGCAGAGCTTTTCTTGACCTGCTACTCACAAACAGGGAAGAATTAGTAGGGGAAGCAAAAGTGGATGGGAACCTGGGAGGCAGTGACCATGAGATGGTCGAGTTCAGGATCCTGACACAAGGAAGAAAGGAGAGCAGCAGAATACGGACCCTGGACTTCAGAAAAGCAGACTTTGACTCCCTCAGGGAACAGATGGACAGGATCCCCTGGGAGAATAACATGAAGGGCAAAGGGGTCCAGGAGAGCTGGCTGTATTTTAAAGAATCCTTATTGTGGTTGCAGGAACAAACCATCCCAACGTGTAGAAAGAATAGTAAATATGGCAGGCGACCAGCTTGGCTTAACAGTGAAATCCTTGCTGACCTTAAACGCAAAAAAGTAGCTTACAAGAAGTGGAAGATTGGACAAATGACCAGGGAGGAGTATAAAAATATCGCTCAGGCATGCAAGAGTGAAATCAGGAAGGCCAAATCGCTCTTGGAGTTGCAGCTAGCAAGATATGTTAAGAGTAACAAGAAGGGTTTCTTCAGGTATGTTAGCAACAAGAAGAAAGTCAAGGAAAGTGTGGGCCCCTTACTGAATGAGGGAGGCAACCTAGTGACAGAGGATGTGGAAAAAGCTAATGTACTCAATGCTTTTTTTGCCTCTGTCTTCACAAACAAGGTCAGCTCCCAGACTGCTGGACTGGGCAGCACAGTATGGGGAGGAGGTGACCAGCCCTCCGTGGAGAAAGAAGTGGTTCGGGACTATTTAGAAAAACTGGATGAGCACAAATCCATGGGGCCAGATGCGCTGCATCCGAGGGTGCTAAAGGAGTTGGCGGATGTGATTGCGGAGCCATTGGCCATCATCTTTGAAAACTCATGGCGATCGGGGGAGGTCCCGGATGACTGGAAAAAGGCTAATGTAGTGCCCATCTTTAAAAAAGGGAAGAAGGAGGATCCGGGGAACTACAGGCCAGTCAGCCTCACCTCAGTCCCTGGAAAAATCATGGAGCAGGTCCTCAAGGAATCAATTATGAAACACTTAGAGGAGAGGAAAGTGATCAGGAACAGTCAGCATGGATTCACCAAGGAGAAGTCATGCCTGACTAACCTAATTGCCTTCTATGAGGAGATAACTGGCTCTGTGGATGAGGGGAAAGCAGTGGATGTGTTATTCCTTGACTTTAGCAAAGCTTTTGATACGGTCTCCCACAGTATTCTTGCCGCCAAGTTAAAGAAGTATGGGCTGGATGAATGGACTGTAAGGTGGATAGAAAGCTGGCTAGATCGTCGGGCTCAACGAGTAGTGATCAATGGCTCCATGTCTAGTTGGCAGCCGGTTTCAAGCGGAGTGCCCCAAGGGTCGGTCCTGGGGC